CGGACACGGCCCGGACACCGCCGGACACGGCCCGGACACCGCCCGGACACGCTTTGTGCAAACCCGGGCCTGCCCCCTCCCTGGAAACCGCGCTAAAGTCCGTTAATACCACTCAGTGCGTTAAGTCTTACACCGAGTCCGCAAAAAGCAAGCATTTCTTTCTTCCTCCCGTTCTTCCCCCTCCCCCCCCCATTGGAAAGCTACAGGTTAGTTAATTTTGCTTTATTTGTGGATTTTTCATTTATTCTGAATTTTGACTGAGTTGTTTCTAAATGAACCTTATTCTGGAGGGCTTATACCAGAGTAGACAGAACTCACATGCCAGCTTCTCACTGATGTGATCACATGAACTTTTTAATTTCACAGCTCATGTTTGTTTCAGTTGGAAGTACAATTACTGTTTCTTTTCTTACGAGGTTTTTACAGGCGACAGATCTGTGAAATGTATATGCCAGCTGGGCTACAGAGCCCTTAGTGTCTTTTTCTTCTCATTTCAGACCAGGGGAAGATGCTTTTTCTTCTTAACATTCTCTCCCAGCACTCTGAATTAGAGATTTATTTGCAACGAAAAATCAATTAGTCCTAAATTTATTCATGGATTTCAGGTCCAGCGATCAATGCAAGTCCACTCAGTGGGCTCAAGGGGACCCAGTTCATCCCAGTTAATGTGTCTGAAGGGGAATTACCATTGATGCTGTTTTCTTCCCTTTAGGTCAGAGATCAGGCCTTGCTGCTGTGTACTGCAGCAGCCACGAATGACTTCACCCTGGAGCTACCCAAACTGCACCTGGAGACCTTTTCAGAGGAAGGGCTGAAGGGCAGGCCAGAGGCTGCAGCATTTCAGGTTAGAGTCTAAAATAATCCTGTTTCTTGTTTTCATTTTTTGCAACTGAGAACAAGAAGCTAGACTGCTCTGAATGCGTGAAGAAGAAAATGCTTCAAAACTATTGTAGTCAACAGTTGAAAGAGAAATAATTTTCATATATACTGTTGGATGTGGTATTTCAGAGATGATGCAAACTTTTAATTAGGTATTAATTAAAACTATAATATTAAATAACTTACAAGAAACTTACATAGAAAACCACTAATTCTATATTTGAAAATTAATATTACTCTATCCTGCCCCCCTTTCCTCTGCTTAATTTAAGCAAGACAAATAGAAATTTAAAATGGGGTGTAAAGAAAGACAAGATTTTTATGCTGCTACTTGATCAGTATCATATTTTTTCATATTTCAGTTTTACAATTAAAAATAATCTTTAGCACTCATAATTTAAAAGGAACTGCTGTTTGGAATATTTTAGTATAGGAGCTATTTTGTTTATGTAGGTTTAAATACTTACATGTTTCAAAATACTAGTTATATTAGGAGGAAACCGGGGAAAAGATGAGAAAACAACTGAAAATGTACACATCTTCAGCTCTGAAAATGGATTCTGTGCAATGCCTTGTAGCTGTGCAGAATACATTCTTGTTAAAAGCAGAATATTTAATTTTCCCAATGAGAGAAAAAAAGGCAGAGTGAGTACATACTTCTTTCACTGTGCTCTTCTGTCTGAATCAGAGAGAGAGTAAAGGTAGTCAAGTGAAGTGCAAGGATATTAGGAAACACAAATATTGCCTAATATTTGCCTAATATAAATTGCCTAATATTGCCTGATATGAAAGGTATACTTTTCTGTAGCAACCTTTTTTAATTTATTGTAGATTTTCAGTTCTACACACAGGATACAATTGCAGGAACAGCATCACAAAACCAAGCATTCAAGAAAGGCAGATTCCAAACTGGAAATTTCTCACTGTTACCCTTTTACATGCATGTCTTTCAATATCAAAAATATTTAAATTATGTGTTTATTAATATGTTTCCATAATAAAGTAGTAATTATGGTAACTGTGAGATTCCTGTGCACTGTAGTAAGCACAGCTGTATGTCTCTGGCAGAGGGTATGTTGCAAATGCTTCCCCATACAGTGATGATCACTCTTAAAGCTGCACGAAAAGCTCCACAGGTGCATCTTTTTTCTAAGAAGCTGTCATAGAAATCACCAGCTTTTAAATACTAGTACTTCTAATTTGGGAGCCTGTTTGGTGATACCTGCTTCTGCTCCTTTGTTTCATCCCAGCTTCCATTCTTTTTTGAAAAGATTCCAGTGATTGCAGAAGCATTTCCAAGCCAACCTATTCCATCTAAGAACAGAAACAGTAGCATAAAAAGTTACATTTCACATTTGTACAGAGTACTTACTTGCACTATAGCTAATCCACAGTAATGTATGTGCTGCACTGGTAGTGCAGTGGTGTAAACCTACTTTTTGTTTACCAGCTTCAGTTACACTTGGTTACTCTCTGTGTCCACAAACAGCTCCAGTGGTTCAGTTTGTATCACTGAAGTTCTTTCCTCCTTCCCATTCTGCTTTTCCCTGTCGTTTCTCTTCCTTCCCCTTCTCTCCCTCTTCCTCTCCCTATCTCTAATTACTCTATCTATCTCTAGTTACACAGTGCTTTTTGATAACTTTCTAAGCACATTGTAGAGATTTTCTTATAAAATGTTCCTTTTATAGCTGGGAGTCAGCTAATTGATGTTAATTTCATGCAAAACTACATTAAGAGCAATTCTGTAATCTTGAATGAGGAAACTGTGAGTAATCACTTTACGGACACTTCTCTTTAAAGTCAGTGGGATTGTTTGCCTGCATGTTCTCTAGAACTGCTATAGTTAGTCTGTGATAAGTAAGACTCAGTTAAAGACCTTATTATCTGCAAGTTTTAGACACTGGCAGTTTTTTCCCAAGTCTAAATTCATTGGTATTTGATGGTATATTTTTAAAAGTTGCATGAAAAATTAAGCTCTTAAATTAGACAGTGTGATAGGGATGAAGCACTGGCTATCAGAACTGTTGAGTACTGACAGAAGATGACACTGTTCTATTTTTATTATTCATGCATGCAGTTTGTAGTAGGGGCTGAGACCAGTAATTATTATAAAATTGGTCTGAGTGTAGCACTTCCTCATCATATGGAAGTAGTGTGCATCTTTTAAAGAATTGTACCCTCTAGTTTCGACCTCTAGGTAATGAAATTAAATATTTGGACACACCATTCTGTGTATCTTCTCCAAAACCTGTACTTTATGAAATGGCTCCTAAATTGCAAAGTTATGTTGTAGGTTGAAATGTTAAGTTACTCAACAAGCATATCCTTGCACTAAGCATCTTCTAAAGCCCCATGCAAGTAGTGAAAGTATTACTTAATTTTGTAGGCATTTGTTAAATTCTTAGAACTGCAGCAGAATTGCTATAGTAGTTCGAAAATGTCACTGCAGTTGCATAAATAATGAAAAAGGCATAATAATCTCTAAGATTAAAATATGGTAGCTATAGCCTTGGAAAAATCTAACCTGATGTTTAATTGCTGTGAAGAATGTTATGTCACAAAATTGTGCTGCTAGTTACTTAAGTCTGAAAGTGAAAAATCATAGTACTTCAGTACTATATACTATATACTATATAGTACTTGTTTTCAAACCCCTGGAATGCAATGAACACAGCGTTGAAGGTGTGCTATTCGGGCCATGCCATGATGTTCCTATTGGAGACAAAAAGTGGAATCATATATGAAGCCTTATATGAATGCAGGATACAGGGTTGTAAAGGCAGCTAAAATGACATGGTATTGCCAATTCTAGTAGTCTTGCCTGGCAGATGACTATTTAAATTAACTAGTAAAGGTCATCAGGTCTTTATAAAATACTGAGTTCGGCTGTGTTACACCTTTAGAATGAGGATAAGGTTACTTAATAACATTAACACTCTCTTCTGAAATAGTTTTATAGTGCACAAAAAGTGGGCATTCACTAGTTCTAAGTGTCTCAAGACAACTCAACTAGTTGTGAATTGTCTCAAGTACTTTTACATCAAATATGTAATTGATACTAATGCCGAGCCTTCTTACCTAAAGACAATTCATAAAGCCCATAAATAAATAAATAAATAAATAAATAAATCTGATGAGATGTAAATGTTTATGTATAAGTAATTAAGCATTGGTATATTATCAGTTTAGGTTTCTTCTGTTTGGAGAGGTAGACATAAAAGGGTAGAAACTGGTATGAAACTTCTTCCTGAAAATTTAGGTACCTCAGACACATATGTTATGTTTTAAAGGAATAAACTTGATTTATGATAAAATTACTTCTAAATATTTATCGGCATGATCCAAGCTATCTGAAGACATGACTCCAGATATTAGTTGAACACAGAAAAGGAACCAGAAAAGGATCTGGGGGTGCTGGTTGACAGTGGCTTCACATGAGCCAGCTGTGCCCAGGTGGCCAAGAAGGCCAGTGGCATCCTGGCCTGTACCAGCAGTGGTGTGGCCAGCAAGGCCAGGGGCTGGGATTGTCCCTCTGTGCTCGGCACTGATGGAGGCCAGGCCTCCAGTGCCATGTCCGATCCTGGGCCCCTCTCTCACTCACTACTGAATGGAGATTGAGGGGCTGGAGTATGTCCACAGAAAGGCAGCAGAGCTGAGGAAGGCTCTGGAGCACAAGTCCTGTGAGGAGTGGCTAAAGGAGCCGGTGTTGTTTAGCTTGGGGAAAAGAAGGCTGTCCTGGTTTAAAGGTTAGGTGTCTGCCAAGGAAGGCAGAAACCTCCCTTGGAATGGAAAATGTTCCACTTCCCTCCAAATTATTACGACTTCGAAATTACGGGGCTTTCAGGCAAAGTTATGGGGAAAGGAATAACATTTTTTTATTACTATATCTGTGTAACAAGACAAACAAGCAACAACAGCTGTGGCGCTGGCCCAAGCCGAGCGCAAGGCCAGGCCCAGCCTCCGGGCCGCGGGCGCT